TGCGAGGCGAGGCGAGGCGAGGCGAGGCGAGGGGGTATAGAATTGGATGAGATTTCACTGCGCTTCACTTGCTTCACATTATGGTCACACTTACGGTCGCACTCCTCTCCCTCACTACACGCCTTTCCTCCTTCTCTTCCCCGCAGCACTACTCAGGTCGGTCAAAAACCCAGTCAGTCCCCTCTCAACTCGTCCCTCAATCTCCCTTCTTCCAACGCGGCCATTCGAGCAGCGGAGCGTCCCTCCTCAACCCACGCAACCAGCGCCGCTCGTCTCGTCATCTCCACCTCCTCCTCTTCGTCGCGCTTCGAACTACGTCCGCAGGCGCCATCTCCGGGCGGGATCGTGGAGCCTTCAGAGACCGTGCTGCTGGGGCGGGTGGGTGTGACCGAACCCTTTTGCGCCGTTGTGGAGGAGTGGTCCTCCTTCTCTTTCACCGACGACGGATCTAACTTCCTCCCTCTTGGAGAGAGGGGTAGCGCCGGAGATTGCTGTGCCGAGGCAAGGGCGGACGGCGCTGTCCAGATGGGAGAAAAGGCTACACTGGGCGCCATGCTCGGTGCTGCGAGAGCTGCGTGAGGTGGCTGGGTGGATGCAGGCTGAGCTTGGGGTAGAGGTAGAGGTAGATGCGGAGGACCGGCCGAAGTGAGCGAGAGCGAGGTTTTGCGCGGCGGCACGGTTGCTTGTGGATGGGTTGGCGCGTGTTGCTTGGTCGACGACTCTAGAGGCAGAGGCTGCGCTGGGTGCTCAGCAGAGGGCGAGAGGGATGGGCCGAGGGGAATCCCTCTTCGTGCTCTTCTAGGAGGCGAAACGTCCACCTCTGGGCAGCAACCCGGAACTGAAGCGGCTTCTCTGTTCAGGGTGCCAGCTCGGGAACGCAACAAGGACTGGGCGCAAGAGGATGATGATGCTGGGGCTGGGGCTGCTGTTGGTGCCTTGCGATCGAGCTTGAGCTTGGGCCCGGGCGTGTGCGTGGCCGTAGGCGTGCGCCTGGTCGCGGTCGCCGTTGTTGCGGGTCTCTTCTCTTCTCCTACTCGTCCTCCACCACCCCCCGTAGCAGGCGGTGTCCAGCTCTTCGGCGTCCAGGGCAAGGAGCATCCCGTAGGCGGAGGATGAGGAGGAGAGAAGAATCCCGACACTCCATACTTGTGCTTCGCGCTCAGCTGCTCGTCGTCGTCATATTTGATCAACACTCCCCGCCTAGCAGCGTTGTTGCTCGCTGGCAACGGAATGGGAAGACAGCCAGCAGTGAAGTTCACGCTGTCCCGCTCCTCGTGCGCCACTCCCTCCGCAACGTGCGAACGCGACCTCGTCGCACCACGGATCACTTTCTCCTTGACTCGACGGAAGAGACGATTCGTCTTGCCCTTGACCGTGGGCCCACCCTCCGATCCAGCGGGTTCGCTACGATGATGCAGAGGCGACGACGCCTTCTCGTTCCCGTCCTCGCCCTGGCCCACTTCTTTGGGCTGTTTTATGTGTGATCGAGCAGGAGTGGTGGAGCTGGGTAGCTCACCGCTGATTGAGAAACCGAGACCGAGACTGCCGTGAAATGGCGGGGTGGGATGATAGACGAATCCCAAGTCGTCCTCCTCCTCCTGGCTAATATCCAAGGGGAGCGCAACGTGAGCTTGAGCTGGAGCTTGAGCTAGAGCCGTACCACAGAGCGTAAGACTGCTCAGCTTGTTGAGTAACAAGTGCTCCTGCGATACCTTTGCTGTACTAACGCTCGTCGTAGGCGAGTTGGAGCTCGAGTTGAGCTCGGGTGTGTCGCGCCTCGGCAGCAGGATAGGCTGGAAAGGCTGCGGAACCTCTCCCCTCTTCCAGTGCCAGCCGGAACATCTCTGCCCGCCACCACTTCTCCTCGCGCCCTCGCTCTTGCTGTGCTGATGAGCCGCATCGCGTTCGTGGTGGTCCGAGGCGGACGTGCTGGTGCTCTCGAGATGAATGGAGAGCGGGGTGATCTTGCAGGAGGGAGGTGGAGAAGAAGACGAGAGGGTGGAACTAGGCGAGTCGAACGATGCGCCTGCATCATTTTGAGAGGAGAAGAGAGTCGCTGAGGATGATGTATGCGCGTGGCGTGAGGTGAGCGGCTGCGACGCATCGTGTGCTGAGCGCGAGCGCGAGCGCGAGCATACAGTTGCTTCACTCATGCTTTCTGTGCTGTCGCTGCTCTTCTGACGCGTGTGACTACGACGAGCGACGACGAGGGCAGGCCCAGCCTCCTGCCCTGACATGGCGCCACGGATGGCGCTTGATTTGACACTGGATTACTAGGGTGGTCGTGAAGGAGGGAATGGTTGGGAGCCAAGATTGGAAATCACCGAAGGGAAGGCACGGAAAGCCAATGGTGCGTGCTTGCATGCGCGTCTGCGGGGAAGAGAGAGATGAAGGGCGGAAAGAGGCACGCGTGGGGCGAGCTACCCGTACTCGTCCTCGTCGTCATTGAGAAGACACAGAGGGGCTGAAAGGGCTATTCGGCTTGCACTGGGATAGGCCAAGGGCCATTCTTTGGCGTTCTTCCCGCACTGCTGGTGCTCACACAGCACGGCGGCGACACATGAGGTGGGCGCGTCTCCCCCTCCCCCTCCGTGGTACATCGTGACGAGATTGAGGAATATGCTTTGCCCCTCTCCTGGCCTTGAACGGTACCAAGGCCACGAGCAGAAAGAAGAGGAGACGAGTAGCCGTTGTCTTCTTTTGTCTCCCTTACACACGCCTCGCCTCGCCTACACGTCGACATGTCCCATCGGGCAGACTGTCATGCGACTTTTTCATTTGATCCTCCGCTCCGCTCATTCATCATGACATCGCCTCATTTCAACCCCTTCTTTTCGTCCCGAAAAGTTGCTCATCGATCGTACCGCAGGACGAGACTAAGATCCGCTTCGTGGGATTCTCGAGCATCTAGCATGGAAGCCACTCTGCATGCAGGGACGGATGAGGAGCGAGGCGAGGGGGGAGAAGGTGGTTGGACCCTTGGCATCCCAAATTCTCACGCAATGTACCATTGCTGTGATCCATTGTGTAGGCTTCCTCCTCTATCGTCGCTTATACCAACGCCTCGCCCTCGTGCCCGCTCACTTTGATCCTGTTGGCTGCCTCGCTACCATTGCTTTGGATGCCGGCCTGCGTGCGTGCGTGCGTGCGTGTGCGAGCGAGTGTCGATGTTGTTCTCTCTTTCTCTCGTCGTGTTGGTCTCGCACACAGGCACAGTGACGTTGAGCCTGCGTCCGCTCACCACTGACTCCGCCCCGTCCCGCCTGTCCGTCTGGACTCAGGAGGTCAGGGTACAGGGCCGTGCCGTGCCTCGAGCCCGCGGCCCGCTCGCCGCCTCGCCTGGCGCCTGGCGCCCGGAGGTCCGTGTAGATGTAGATTCAGGAGGCGCAGCGCGGCGGATGTGATGGATGCGTGCGTGGGATGTCAGGTCGAGGCGGCGCGAGCGAGATTCAACTCGACACTTTTGGCCCCTCTCTGCTCCTCACCATCATCGTCACCACCGCCAATAAGGCCATTGTGCCGTGCCAAGTCCTTGACGCCATGTCATCCCCGCCATCATCAACAGCATAATCATCATCATAGGCATAGGCGCAGGCATAGGCACCAAACCTCTCCCTCCACGCTCGCTCATTCGCTCGCAAGCATGGACGCATCCACGCCATCATCATCGTCAACACCGTCGGCCGGCCCGACGACGTCGACGTCAAATTCGCCCTCGCCCTCGCCCACGCTCACAGGCATGGACGTCACCCCCGCTCCACGCCGAAGGGCACGACGCCTCTCGCGCACTTCATCACAGGGCAGCTCATCCTCATCACACCGCGCCCGCCCATCCAGCGTCGCCTCCAACAGCAGCTCCAACCGCTTTGCCGTATCCGCTTCCTTGCTGAGCCCCTCGCTCGCATCCGCCCTCGGCATCGGTGTCGACGGCAATGCTCGCAGCGGCAAGTCGCACAACTCCAGCAATGGCTTCTACGCGAATGCGCACAGTGCCAGCTGCACCTCCCTTACAGGCATGGCGCCGCAGTATCAACACCACTACCATCACCGCGCACCTCGCCCGCGTGGGGGCAGTGACTCGGATGAACGCCGGCCTAGCCTGCCCAATGTCTTACTGGCCGCACGCAGGATGAGCGTCGTATCCGTCGCGTCATTCGACAGTCTCGCCGAGGAGGATCAGCAGCAATCCGCCCTCATGTTGCCCCCGCCTTCATTGCCCGCAAAAGCGCCGGGAGTCGTAGTCTCTCCGCCCACGTCGCCCACCGCGGCATCGAGCGCCAGCGCGAGCGCACGCCGGACAACGCTGAAGCGCGCCCTGACCTCGCCCTCTGCGCCGGATCGGGTCGTAAGCTGGGACGAGAAGATGAGGAAGCGCGGCCTCGTCACGCGCGAGCTACTCACCACGGAGCGGGCGTTTGTCGAGTCCCTGCGCATACTGCAGGACTCCTTCTATCAGCCCTTGATGTGCCGCTGCGGGCCAAAGGGATCGCCTAACCTGAGCAGCAGCGCGCCCGCCGGCGACCCGATTCTTTCGAGAAAGGCCATCGCCGAGATTTTCAGCAACTTTGCCGACATTCTGCGACTCAATACCGAGCTACTGCAGCGTCTTGAGGAGCGTTTGGGAGGACAAGAGGGGGGCGAGGAGTCTCAGTCAATAAGCGCAGGCACGTCGACGGCGTTCCCCTCAACGAGCTCGCGACGCTCCACCTGGGACGCCGAGCTGGATTGCGTGGGCGACATCTTGGTCCCCATTGCGCCATTCCTCAAGATGTATTCCCTTTACGTTAAGAACTTCTCCTCCGCCCTAGCTCGCATAGAGACGGAGCGACGGGAGAACGAGGCCTTCGCCAAGTTCCTGCGCGACACGGAGCGCTCTACGTGGGGGAGGGGTAAAGCCTTCTTCGGGCTGGGACTCCAGGCTCACCTCCTCACCGTCGTTCAACGCATCCCGCGCTACACGCTGCTTGTGGGCGACCTGCTCAAGAGCACTCCACCCGGCCACCCGGACCACGCCGACATCAAGCGCGCCTACGAAATGGTGGAACGCGTCGCCTCGTCCATCAATGAGAATGTGCGGCAACACGAGATGGATATGCTCATGCTCTCCCTGCAACGCTCCCTCACTGGCCTACCTGGCCCGCTCATCGCACCCGGACGCAAGCTGCTCAAGCGCGGGGCTCTCCAAAAGGCGTGCAGGAAGGACGTGCAGCCGCGAGCGTTCTTCTTGTTCACGGATTGTATCATCTATGCGAGGCCAACCGGGGGCGGCGTGGCGGCAATCGAGGCGACGTGGGGCGCCATCGCGCGAGCGGCGGGCGGCGCAGAGAGTTCGCACGCATCAGCAGCAGAGTCTCTCCCGCCTCGCACTCGCGTATCCTCCGGCGCCCTCTTCTCCAGCACTGCGCTACTCGACGTGCTGCAGCCGGCAAATACGCACTTGCAGCTGCAGTTTCGCGAAAAGTATCCGCTCCAAGACGTCACTGTCATCAGCATCGAGGACGCCGCCGGGGCCGCCGCCGCCTCTACCTCCGCCTCGGCCTCCATCGATACGTCCTGGCCCTTTGAGCTGCGCACCCCGGACAAGTCTTTTGCCGTGTACGCGCCCAGCGCTCAGGTCCGACAGGAGTGGATGGGGGCGATTCGTGAGGCGCGCAACGAGTGGATGCAGGCTAGGAGGACATTGAGGACGGAGGAGGACTCGGTCGATGCGAAGCGCGACAGGAGGAGAAGCGTGGCTGCAGCTGCAGCGGCTGCCAAAGCCAGGCAAAGTGTGTACAGCATGGCCCTGCCCAATCCTTCCATACCAGAAGGGATCGAGGGGTGCGATATCACGCTGCGGGAGCCTACCGCGGGGACGGAGACGCCCCTCTTGCCCCTCGACGTAGCAGCCTTGCGTCGTCCCTCCCTTACGGCTCGCTCCTCGCTCCCCTCTACGACGTCCTTCGCCTCCCTTCTCCCCGTCGCTGCCTCCACCGCCACGCCCAGTAGCGCTCTCCGCGTCCTCGAGGATTACAACGCCCCTGCGTGGGTCCCTGACTCCCGTGCCGACCGCTGCATGGCGTGCTCCGAACCTTTCAACCTGTGGCGACGAAAGCACCACTGCCGCCTCTGTGGGCGCGTAGTCTGCTACTCGTGCAGCATGCAGCGATTCGTCATCGCGAGCTACGAGGACGGCAAAGAGGACACGGTGGCGCGCGCCTGCGATAGTTGCTACGAAGCGGCCTTCCCCGAGGAAGAGGAGGAGGAGGATAGGCAAGTCGAGGGCGGAGGCGGAGCCGATGACGCAGAGGACTCAGTTGGGCCTCCCAGCTCGGGGGAGACGAGGTTCAGCTTCCCGCGAGCGGGCGACGCAAGCGCGAGCGGCAGTGCGGACGGGCATGCGGCAACCATTGAGCAGTTGCAGACGGGAAGCGACGCTACGGTCGTTCCTGCGCGAGACAGCGGCAAGGAAGGAGAAGAAGGCGAAGTGCTACCACACGCTCTACAGTGTCTCGCGCTCGGCGAGACGGCCAAGCATAACCGGTCCGCGCAAGCAGAGGAGGACGGTGATGGCGATGGCGATGGCGATGGCGACGCGCCTCTCCCTTTCCCCTCCAAGCGCGCAGTGAACTCGCCACCGCCCTCTCGCCCGCGCACGACCATCTACGACTTCCCGCCCTCAGCCTCGTCTTCCGCCCTCTCCCCGCCCTCGGCCGCAAGAATAATGATCGCTCAATCCCACACGTCCCACTCCCTCTCGCACCCCACCTCCCTCCTCATGCCACCAGTCCAAGCGGCCACCTCTGGTCAGGGCACCTTCCGCCTCTCTGCGCCACGCATCACCACGCCAGATGCAACCTCGGAGCGGGGCCCTTCGTCCGCGGCCTGCACGCCAATCGACGCAGCGATATCGGGCGACCCGGCCTGGTATGGGTGCAATGTTGCCGCGAGCAGCTCGAGGCGCAGTCTTGCTCTCGAGGGGCAAGCCGGAGCAGGAGCAGGAGCGGTGGGGGAGAGTGGAGATTACTTTGGGCCCGTGGGTCACACCTACTCTACGGACGAGCACGCCGCTTCGACGCCTACGCCGGAGCAGCAGGCGGCGATTAAGGCGCGAGGCAGGAAGAAGCCCCTCGTCAGCGCCGCGGCTAGACTGAGCGCGTATTATGGCAAGGCGACGGCGGGTGGACGAGTAGGAGGCGGCGCGGCTGCCTCGGGTTCGCCGGCTAGTGCGGCTAGCCCGTTGAGGAAGGCTTCTGGTTGAGTAGGGGCAGAAGGAGGGTGAGACTTCCCACGATTGGTGACCGCTGCCCTTTACGACGATGACGACGACGACGACGCGGCAGGCACATGACCATGACGACCCCTACGCTATTCCACTTCCGTACCACCATACTACGACGAGGACAGGACTGGCTTCCTTCTCCTCCTTCTCTCCCCTTCTCCCCTCCTCAGCTCATCCACCTTTTCGTTTCCTCTCTTTTTTCGACTTCACCTTACCCCTTTCGGACTCGTTCGCTTTCCTACTTCTGCTCTTTCGCACGCACGTACCCGACTCGAATTCAACCATGCTGTTGCTCGATAATGCATTTAATACATACGATTGATCGATCGATCATTCATGCTTTGCGAGACTTGGTTGCGCGGCTTTGAGGGAGGGTGGAGTGGTACTTCTCTAGTTGACTGCAAAACGAGCCAAGACGAGAAGACCTACGCTGGACATGCATGCCGTGCTCGCTTGCAACAACTTGCAAAGCGTTGAGATCAGCGAATCTTCGCCAGAGGTAAGCCGAACGAACGAGCTTTTGCGCACGGGTGCCACGCCGCACGCGTGGAGGCGCTTCCGCCCTTTGTTTACCCTCACTCCCCGTTGCACACCGCTTGTCTCTGATACCATTACTTCATCTCCCGCTGAACTGGAACACCGTGATTGCAAGTCTACTCCGGAAGATCATTGAGCACGGCAAGCGAGCAAGCGAGGTAACGGACTGATGTGGCCGGCTGGCCAAAGCCGAGAGCGGAGCTGCGGCTTTGCAACCAATGATGTCGGCGTTGCGCCGCCAGGAACGGCGGACCGTAGCTGCCGTCTTGTGCACGGGCCCGCTCGATCGTGACGGTCACATCGAGCCTCGGGGAAGTCTTTGTTCCACTCGAGCAATCACGCCGCTTGGTGCAATCACCCGCACCGCCACGCAATCATCCGCTCGCTCAACGTCTACTTAACCTCCCTGTCGCGCCCCTCCCTCTTTCTCTTTCCCTTTACAACCACACCCCACCACCCATTATCTGCTTTCACCTCGCACCACACCACGCACCGAGCAGAGAGTCGTCCTCAAACAGTCAGCTGCGCCTCGCGGTAGCGGTGAGTATTCGTAAACGGCTAGCATGGCTGGCTACCGCAGAGGCTCGAGCTGATCTATGCCACGCACGTCACGCACCGCTCAGGGGCGCATTTTGCAGCCACCGCTTCGCTCTCATGCCCACGCGTACAGCCCAGCCGCAATACTTCAGCATAGTAGCCGGATGTCCCTGAGTCAAACGCTTCACAGCATCCGCCGGCAACTTGCCAGCGAGTGTCAACATCATCAAGGTCGTCGGTCGTCCTTCTCCTTAGACCCCCGAGCGAGACTACGTACCCTGATCTCAGGCTTCACGAAGACGGACAGGGATAATCGCATCCCCCTCCTGGTGAGTGCTTGCCTGCGCATGTGTGCCCAGCTTGCTTTCGGGCCCGTGACGCTCATGTTGTCTCTTGCTCGCCGCGCGTCGTAGAGTGGTTCCACGCCTTCATGGCTACCGTCAAGTGACACGTCGCTTTGACGGCGAGGCGCACTATTACCTCTTTCTAACTGGCGGGAACCCTCCTCCAATGGGAGGAGATGTCATCCACGCCGAGATCGCTCGAGTCGACGCTCCTCCCGGCGCTCCAGTGCCCCCCTTCTCGGAGCGCCCATCCAGCCACGCTCCTCCACTCGGCCTGGTTTCGCCCGGGTCGGCCGTCGCACTGGCAGGCCCTCATGTCGAACATCGATGCATGAAGCCAATGCCGCAAGCCGAGGAACCAGAGGAGCGCTACACGATGTCGGTCGCGCGTAGGCTGCGCACCGATACAAAACCCTTCCCGTCTCTTCTCCAAGCCCAGGCCGCCTCCTCCTCAACACGAGCCGCCCTCCTTTCGCCCCTGGCGAAATCCTCGACAGACTCGTCGTCGGAGTATCGGCACGAGCCGGCAGACCCACGCGCGTCGCGGCGGATGAGCGAAGGAGGTGGCAGCCGTCCTGGGTCGGCGATGTCTATCGTCGCATCGTCGGGGAAGAGTGCGGCATCGAGCGCTGGGTCGGAGGTCGATGAGCTGGAAGAGAGGGAAGACGAGGAGGACGAGAGCGAGCGAGACGAGCTGGACCAGAGGGAACATGAGCAGGCAGAGGGGCAGCGAGAGGGCTCGGCTTCGGCTGCCAAGAAGCCAGAGGGTGGGAAGGAGAGCGCGGGAGGCGAGATTGAGGGCAGGGAGGAGGAGGCACTGTCCAGTCAGGTCGACGCCGTGCAGATCGACCAGGACGAGGACGAGGAGGAAGCCGGCGCCGAGACGACCAAGGGCACGCAGGACGAGCCCCATCTCGAGGCGGCAGAGGCAGCAGGGCCCGAGCGTCGATCATGCTTCTCGACGCCCTTTCAGCCATGGGCGCTCGGCTCCGTCGCGGTTCCTAACCCCTCGGCGGCGCACCAGAAGAGGGATGACGCTGCGGATTTGAGGAGAATCCGCCAGGCAATGATCGAGTCGCGCACAATCGAAGCGCTCGATGCTGCGACGGGCGACAACGACGACGCTCACTTTGCGCCCTCGCCGACCACCTCCGTCCTTGCCCAGCTCGACGCCAGGCGAGACTCCGCGGCCGGCCGCATGTTTCTGGCAGAAGGTGCCTGCCATCTCGCCATCAGGTGATGTTAATCAACGCTTCTTTCATCCCTACCACATCATCGTATCATCAGGGGACGCAATCAAGCCATGCCAGACGCCTCCTCCCCCCACCAGGGCTTCATAGAAGAAATGGCAGGAGAAGGTAAGTGTTGGCTGCGTCACAGATACGGGCGAGCGAATCCGCTGACTGTTAAACATCCACGCAGATGATGTCACGGGCGAGCCTGCGACGCAGCTCCAGCCGCCTGCTCCCATGGCCGACACTGCCCCTACACACGCCATTCAGACCGCCTCTACCAAGCCCAATCAGCCGTCCATCGCGCAGCCTGAGACGCATTCTTCCTCCTCAGACACAGACGACACAGACGACGACGAGCTAGACGCCATCAAGCTGGGGCCTGATGGCGAGCTCATTTACGTCCCTCAACGTCACCTTGATGCGGCGGCGCCCGAGGTGGCCGCTGCTCTCCGAGCCACAGTAAAGAGAAACAAGGAGGCTCTAGAGAAGAAGAGGAGACCAGCGCCCTTAGTGCTCTACCTCCGGACGCCGTTCTGTGTCTTCCTGAGTGCGCTGCCATCGTAATACAATGACTCTGAGCCCGCTACGGTTGGTGTGTGGGCTCTCTCCGTGTGGGCCTTT